TCACAGTTTGATACATCATACTTGAATATTATAGGTATAGCTTGTAAACCCGCTCAATATGGTTTTCCAACAATAACTGCACTTTTACAAGCCTTACCTTGTACTGTAACGATAAAAGAGACACGGAAGAAAGAAGCGATTATCTATTTGAATAAAAAATTAGCCGGTAAATAAGTAGTTGAAATATAACTTCTTTCATGTATTCGTTGATATCTTGCTAATTTTTGAATTTTTCACTCTTTAAGTTTCCGCCGGTATACTTTTGCCATCAATATATAAACCGATGTCATCTTATCACGATACGGATTCCAGCAACGATTCATTTGAAAGTGATTCTTCATGTCGCGCAAATGCCTCAAATGCTCTCAGCGTTCGCGTCCAAATGGATCATGATCAGATGGATCACGAAAAATGGATCGATCAATTGACAAACATTAATTCTTGGAAAACGAAGGATGATAAAGCTCTGTGGTCGGAAGTTTATGATAAGCATTGGAAGAATTTGCCGAGTTCGGAGGAACGCACAACTAATTGGCCAGTCTCGGAAAGCGGCGGCGAAAGCTTCCTTAATAGCTTGATGCGCACACCGATAATGCAATGTAATTTCCCACCGCCACCGCCCAAACCCGACTCACCACCCGAGGTACTATTTTAATTAATTAAAATTAAAAGGGGGATTTTCATTGTAATAGCTCTAAAAACAATGATTTTTATAAATGTTTTGGACAAAGTTTAATAAGATCCAGATAACCTTTTTTAAGTTATAATGAGGCATTCTCTTGGAATAAAAAAACTTGTAAAAAAACTTGTTAAAAAACTTTTTTTACATTTTTTATTATATACTGAATAGCGTATAATAGTTAATTACTTCCAGCAATGTATGGCATACAGCATGTACCATCTATCACAAAAAATCAAACAAAAAATTTTCTTAAAGTTTTCTTCATATTATGCCATTTCGATTTTATTTTTATAAAAACTTTACAGCAATATAAAATCAATTTTTTTCCAAACGCTACTTATACATTATTCATAGGACTGGATATATATTTGAAATACTTTTATTTGAAAAATTGTATTTTGTATATTTCATGCGAATATATAAAAGTATTTTGTATTTTAATATTAATATTGAAAGACTGAAAGTGTTTTATATTTTGTATTTCAAATACTGAGATTGACAATCAATTTTGTTTGAATTATAAAATACAAGAAATTTTCAATCTTTCGATTTTAAATACAAAATACGTAATTTCATGCTCTACTGAAACATACAATGCAACATACAAAATATACTTTTATTGTAAATACTGTAAATTAAAGTTAAATAAAAGTATCTCAAATATAGTCCTGCTCTCCAATCCTAGTTGCTTAACTAAAATCTTTTTATATCTAAGATGTTTCTTCATATCTTAAAAAGTAATTTGGATATCAATATTTTTTCTTAAAAATTCATAAAAGTCATCTGTTTTTAGAACTGTTAGAATTTCCTTTAATATTTATCTCAATACATCTGATTGAAAATAAGTTGTCATTTTCTTGTAGGATATTGTATGCAAGGAGGAACATTGGAAATCATCGCTCTGGTCCCCGACAAAATTTACTTATCCGCAAGATGAACATTCCACGAACGTACAGGTATATTTTCCTTTTTATTAGATATGTTTATACACGAAACAATTGTTTATTTGCTCTTCTACATAGTTATCCGTCTCTTTTCAGGTTCCCCCGTTGATCTTACCAAGTTGGAATCAGATTTTGACTGGCGACGGTATCTCGAACTTGTTGTCGCCAACCAAAAATCTATTGCCCGCTGCTGCGAATCCCTTGTATCCATCTACTTCTCCTTATTATAAGTCTGTCGTAGCGCCACATCCATCGGAATTGCCTCTTCCTTCTCTATCGTTAACACCCAAGAAGAAAATATTGGCAGATAATCAGAAAAAGACTGTCGCCAATGTGAGAACTCACCTCAATCTTGCAAATTCCGAAAGCGAGGATAATATTATCGATGATGATGAGAGCAGCGACAGTCATAGCATTTCTAGTAAACTCTGTGAGTAGTTACATTATTTAGAGAGAGAGAGAGAGAGAGAGAGAGAGAGAGAGAGAGAGAGAGAGAGA